TATATATATTATATAGTCACCAGCACTTCCTAAAAGCACAGGTCCATAACGTGTTGGTAAAAGCTGCTAGTTAGAAATGGCTTGCTGCATCTGCACAGCGAAGGTAAAACCGAGTCTCACTGTATTGATCGATATGATTGTCTGTTTGCCCGATTTGTCCTGAACACGGAACTGCGAAACACCTCCCTCCTCCGAGAGCTCCGCACCCGCATTCAACGACCCCGAAGCCGCCCCAACCTCTTGGGCGACGCCCATCTGCATGCAAAGAGCACGCACTAGAGTACCACTGCTGCTCACCCCACGAAGTCCTACAATTTCCAGCCGCCGCCCCTTACCGGAATACAACCCACACCACACCTCCTGAGGCGGCGTAGAACCATAGCAATACACCTAACAACTATCTGACACTTTTACGGCAAAAATCCTGCAAGTACTTAACATTTTGCCGTGCTTTCCTAGTTTAGTGTCCCGCAATGCCAAGTAGGGAGTGCGCCATGGCCGCACCTGGATGCTTAATTGAGCTTTCCGGAGGACAATATCCATCAACGGTTGCATCTGCTGGAGCAGCTCCGGGCCGCATGCAGGAGCGGCAACAGCTAGACAAACCATAATAGAGCTGAAGACAGCTGAGGCGGCGGGGACGGCTTCGCATGCCAGAAGTAGGCTGTGGAGACGCTCCACTAGCCATGGAGCGTCCTTCATCAGCCACCACACCTCATCACAACTTCACAGTATACCCGAAATGCCCAGCTACAGAGCTCCACTCACGTGGCTAGAAAGGCGCAACAACCAGGAAGTTACTCACCAACCAGCTGGTTTTCCCATCCTGCACACATCTACGTACCGGCCTCAAGACATCCTTGCCGACGGCTGCTCCCAGGTCGGCAGCAAACTCGACTGCAGCCTGAAGCAGACAGCGCCCTGAATGATCTTCTAGCAGCTGCTGCACTTTCTGCTTTCCTGCAGGGTCATCTCCTCCCAGAAGGTTCCGCAGTGCCGCTACGAATGGAGGGTAGTGGGGAATGAACGCAGAGCCGCAGGCCTAGGGCAATGCACAAAACATGCAAATGCTCTAGTCGTTTTTCCGTTAGTCTTAAACAAAAACAAAGCAAACCCAAGACATGGCTCTCCATCAACTATAGTTTAATACAACAAGGCAGTCAACTGGGTGGAGAAGGGCTCATTTGTGGCGTAACAAGGCGGACAAAGGGAAATGAACTGCAATCTTCGATTAGGGACTCAAACAAGTGAGTACCTTCGCCAATGCAGAAGCGAGGGCCAGTGCGAATTCTTGGGTCTGCATATCATTGCTGGAACAGCCGGCGATAACGGCTGCATCCCACGACAAGCCACGAGAAGGAACAGCAACAGCAGCCACACAACCTCAGCATCATCGCAATACATAAACGGAGTGGAGATTACTTCTTGCCATTTTAGAGGCAGGATCTGCCCCTCACTACCAGCACAAGATGGGCTGCAGCAGGAGGTGGCCTACCCTTAGATAAGACCCCATTCAAATGGGGTTCAACCTGCAAAAACCCCACAGTTCACATTAGCGACTCGCACTGCTTTAGCCGGCTTAAATTGGCAGCAAATACCAATGGAAACCAGACTGAACTTCGTCGATGGCTTTTTACAGCAACACTCCATGCCCCACTCTGTCCAGCTTGTCCCCTTCTACACAGAGCGAAGGGAGCAGCAGCACAAGCAGCCGAAGGCACCAGAGCAGCAGCAGTCGAAGCCACCGGAGCAGCACAATCATAAAGCCCAGCACAGCCCTCGCTGACGTACGAAAGCAAGGGTTTCGGGAGAAGGCTCCTCCCCTTCCTCGGGTGCCAGCCCAGAGAGGAAGGATGCAAGAGCCAAAAGCGCCTGTCTCCGGCAGCGAACAGAAAGATCATCTGCGCTCTTCTCAGAGAGTAAGGAAAGGAGCTGCTCGCCGTGCTGTTGCTGCACCTGCCGCGTCCACTTTTCTTCGTTCTCCATCATCGACCCCAAACACCTTAAGCCTTGCCAACGCAGACGGGCGTCCACAGCCTTCAACGCCGCCATGCAAGTCGCCGTCAGCTAAAAACAAGAAGACAGCCTTAACAAACCGTACCAGCATACAAACCCCGTACACAAGGAGGATCTCTAAAACGCACAACGTCGCATATGGCGTTTCCGTCAAATAACATCAAGTGCAGCAGCAGCAGCAAGAGCTGTGCCCTGCATCACGGCAAAGGTGGCAGTTGTAGCTGACTATGCGTTTTCCAGCCCGTATAAAAGCAAGCGCATACTTTGTCCACGTAAGGCCCTAGGAGAGGTCTGCAGGTTTCATCGTCCAGCAGAAGGGCCAGCAATTCAAGGGCGGTGTAGGAGTAGCGGGGATCCTCTTGTTCCACTAACAGTGAAAAAATGTTCATGAGTTTCGCCAGGACGTGCAGGCCTCCTGCAGCGCATGCACCCAGGACACGACGAGCTACACAAACAGTCCATGTACAGACCCCTTTGATTGGAGGGGCTGCACAGAGACTCCCCCTGATAATGGTCAAGGACAGCTGTGCCCACCGGTTGAAGAGGCCCCTCCTTCCGCGGGCCCTGCATCGGCTCCTGGATCCTGCGAAGAGCTGCTACTACACAGCATGGAGGCGATGTCTGCCATCAGCTGCAGGGCAACACTGTGCAATGTTTCTTCCCCTGCTTCCTCCTCTCGCGCTTGTGCTTCCCATGTTGCTAGGTCTTCCCAGTCGCTGGGAGAAGCCGCCGCTGCGTCTGCCAACAGCATGAGCAAGTCGTCCACGAGGGGCATATGCTGCAACACCCCACATGGCATGCGTAGAACCTAAATGCAAAGCTTGTATGCTTCATACCTGGGCATGCACAATGAGAGATTTCTGTGAAGGGCACGAGCAACGCAAAGCAAAAATACCTTTGCAACAAGCACGCGAACCAACAAAGTAGACATGACAAAGCCCACAGTCTCCTACACCTGCATCGGCACACGAGGAAGCAGAAGGCACCGACCTTTCTTGAGAACTTGGGGGCCCCAAGGAAGGCAGAGGCGGCCAACTGCAGTGCCATCCGGCCTGTTTCCTCAGTCTGTACACTGGCAGAGTTGGCGAGAATAGTCTTGACAGTGCCCAGGAGCGCTGCGTGCTGGTCACGGAAAAACTGGGGGCCCCTCTCGGCAAGAGAGACGAGAGGAGCCAAAAGTTCTGGACAGGGCTGTCGGGTAATCATTTGCAGGACCACTGGACACAATGAACAGTATGCAGCTACTGCGGTCTTCTTGGTCTCTTTGGCTTCGGCCTCTTCCGCTCTCCAGCGAGCCGTCCTGCAAAAAGACAGGTGCAACCAGCAGCAAGACGCATGAGTACACCTGGCTCCAAAGAAGGAAGAAACGCCACACAGGACAAGCGGAAGGGAAAAGCAACTGACAGAACGCACAGACACTGCAGTGCATGACACATACATGCTTTCAAAGGTAGCACACCTACCGAACAAACAGTGTCTGCAGGGCCTCCTCGCCAGCCGCCGACTTCTGCAGAATTACAATTCGCAAAGGGCCAGGGTGGGAGATTCAGTGTCATAAAAACCACCTAATGAGGTACCACGCAGTGCCACCATGAACTAAAGGGGACTGGATCTACCTGTGTGCTTGTTTCTGCCTATATGCAACGGCCCGTATGCTCGTTCATGTCCCCTCTGTATGCGCACGTATCTCTTGCCAAGGCTATTATGTCCTACAAGAAACAAACGAGTCTACCCACCTTCACATCTAGCTGCTGGAATGTCAGGTTCAACTTCTGGACGAGTTGGGAGGTGCGCTGAACATACACCTCAGGCTCCGCGACATCCGCCAGTCGGTCGACCAGCAGCCACAGAAGACATTCTTCCTCCGCTGAATGTCCCTGCGCCTGCTGAGCGTCGAGCCAGTTCACGATGAAACCAAAAGGGGCTGTCTGGTTGATGGTTGCTGAGCACAGAGGAAGCAACGGATACGTTCATAGGAATAAAAAAGACTTTCTTTCGATAAGAACACTCCAAATATTTGAATTTATGAACGTAAGACAAAGCAGTAGCTGACTGTCCAGTACTCAACGGGTCGGGTTGAGGGCACCTCTATAGGTAACACATATGCTAATATGCTAACATAAGTCAACACAGACGCACCTGTGGAGGGCAAATGCTGCCACAGCTCTCCTATAGCCTCAGCTGCTGCTTTCCGCACGGTGAGGGGACCCCCCGATGACAGCGCATCTACGAGGCTCCGCATGACCAATTCTACGAGCTGCTGCTTCTCATCCGAATTTCCCTTCATGTCTTTAAATTTGCTGTGTGCATAACGTCGGACAAGGACGGCTGCTAGCTGCCTACTGGATGCCTCCTCCTCGGGGGCAGATGCAGCAGCAGCAAGTGCCGGCAACAGCTGCTGCAGCGGTGACTTGCTCAGCATGTCCTCTGCAGCATTGCGGACAGCAGTGTCCGACGACTGCAGCTGGGTCAAGACCTGCGGGTGCAGCAACCAGCAAGAACCGCCCCAGCCGCATTCTGTTGTATAGAAAGCGGTTACATATACCAAAGCGAATCAGCACATTAAACAGCACCGTAGGAACCTCGAAAATACATAGCCTTATGCGGCCAATGATATGCCTACATCAACGCAACGTTACAAGTAGGTGTGTGGAGATGCAGCTACCGGCGTGTGCTGGACAGGACATGCCGGCACGCAGACGAAGATCTGCGCCACGCGCTAAGAATAGGTGCTGAGGATTCCTACGATAAAAGGAAAAAAGACTTGCCTCCTTCATGGCGGCGCTATTCTGACTGGCTGGAAACGACATTTGCGGCATCGTTGAGTGGATTTTCCACGCAGACGGTCAAGGCAAGAAGCTGGCGGAAGCTAGCACGGCCACTAAATGATATAAGACCTATTTCCGGCCAGTGTTTAAATTTAATGTTGTGTTGAATATGCAAATAAAGGCACACAGGTAGACCAGGGAGAAAACAATTGCCCAGATGCTGCACAACCTCTTCGGGAGCAGAATTGCCTTAGCGCAGCACACTGACACCTCTGAGGACCTGCGAGTCTCCCCTTTTATTTCTACTTCCAACAATGAAGACGAAGAAGATCAAACGTGTAGAACGATGCAAAAGGGTACCCAGTGAGCCGCACGCACCCAACAGTGGGGTGGGGCCCCTCGCAACACAGCCCCGATGAGCTCATACCAACCGGGCAACTATCTCTGTGTTATTGTTTGCTCAGCGTTCGAATTAATTACAAGGCCTAACAATCACTGCAGTACCAAAGGAAGAAATAAAAGTTTACGGCTCAAACCTCAAAGACACTCCTTGTGACCACCCCTTTCTTCGTGGAGGTGATACGGCAATCGGCTTTCTTGTGGACGCCCCCCTGTATTGTAAAGAAGCTCCTATTAAGCATATTCCCAATGAAGGAAAAGCTGGCAACAGCATGTCGTACGTCAGTTCGGCCCTTTGCTACAGGGTGATCAGGAATTGCCTGGTAGTGGTAGAAGCTACTGCTACATCACATCCCCACTGTTGCTTGCAGCCTCCGCAAATGCTGCCCAAGCTCTACCTTTCGAACGTACTAATCGAGGTGCGCTTTCCGCTTGACGCACCAACGGTCTTGGACCGCCGTGGAGGACCATTGTGAGATGCACTAGAGGCAACACATTTAATGAGGAATAAAGAAGGGAAGCTGGCCTCCCCTATACAGTGTCGAGGCGTCGTTCTAACTGTAATTCAGAAGCGCTTGGCTGAGATGATGCAGCCTGTTGTGCATTGTATTGGACTTCGTGCAACTCCCGATACAAGCCCACCTCATCTGCAATCATTCCACCTTTCGATGCATGAGCTTAGGCACCACACACTTGTAAACATTTTTGGCCCCCACCAGCCACTCTAAAACACATGTAGTGTATCGAGCAACTTCACGCAGACACGGCACATCCGATTGCAGTGTCAACACCAGTTTCTGACTAGTCCGTGTCTGATCTGTTACCATGGATTTCACATTGGTGCAAGGTGCTCGATAGAATTTGCACGCTGAACGCCTTATCTACCAGACCCAGCAACGGCAAACAACTGGGAGTCTGGAAACATGAGGATTGTATGTGCATCGGGATGAATATTAGGATGTCCGCTTATTCACCACGGTAAGCCCGTTGGCTCCGTTGCTGTATGCCGGATGCACTATTTGTTTTTGCAAGATTTTTTGTGATGCATCATCTCGTTCAGTGTCTTTTGTTCAAATCATTTAAACTAGATTTTCCTAAGCCACGAAGTAGGAGTATAAATGGCAAATTCAAAACGATTGAAAGTTAGAAACGGAAAACAGTCCTGCATCAACGGATTTTACAGCGGCTAAAACACAAAACGAGCCTTTACGGTGCACAGGACCCATTCGTAGCATTTAGAGACCCAAATCTGAGTAATCCAAGCCCTAACGATACAAACTATCGTGTCGGCCCGCCTTCAACCGCAGTTAAAGATTTCCATGCGGAGGAGATTCCCCCCTTGATGGGGTCACTTTTCATGCCATTCAACGGCTAAGCTAGACACCAAAGTACAGTCGGCATCTCTGCAGTGATCCAAAAACGTTTAACTTCGAGCAGCTGGCTGCACGCTCTCAAGTACCATAAGACATGCAGTGCTACTGTCAAGTTGTCCTCGGCGAGCTGGGAAACGGAGAGGCCTTAAATACTTTTCCGGCTTGTGTCCGGAACAAGTCGGGGTGTAGCTGTGGTAAAAACTTGATGTGTTGTTCGAGGAAGACATTGGCATGCTCCTTAGCTTTGTCCGGGAGTGTGCCCACTTCAACGCGCTTAACCAACTTGCTGATCGACCGTCTAGCCCAATTTTGCAGGCCTGGTTGTTTCAGAGATGTTGCAGTCGCATCTTTAACAAACTGAAAAAAAAACAAAGTGTTGCACCAGCCCCCATGTAGAGTCCCACCACTGAATATCTCATGCGGACAGCTCATGCCAAATGGAACTGCTGCACTCCACTTGCAGGTCTCCTATAAAACCCTCTCATCTGAGGTTTCTGAGACAACTTACGAAATTCAGCAAATGGAAAGGACAGAGTCCGTAGCCTAAATCAAACGCTGCATGCTTGTCAGCTGGTCCGCAGTACCGTCCGAATGCAAAGAGCCAAAAGGGTACAACCATGAGGGTGCGGACAAGCCCCCACTGAATTTCCGGATCCAGATCAATCTCCAAAATGCGAGCCGCCGTCTGAGCAACTTGTTGCACATATTTCCTTACATGGTTCTGCAAGCAAGAAACAAGACATCCGCAGCAGCTTCAGATGACAAATTCATTTGCAGTTCAGTCTGATCAATATAGTGCTTGGAAATACCAGAGATTCCAGTTTTCCAGAACTTGAGCGAGATGAAAGCCGACAGTGGAAGCACCATGTGCGACTGGACTCAGGATTCACTTGGCTGCTGCACAATTAATCCTGCCAGGAAGTAACTTGCCTGGGCTGCTGGTTGAAGGTGACTAGAAGCGAAGGCTATTAGCAAGTCGCTAGTTTTCAAAACTAGGCCAGGTATTTCTTGTCTTCCTATTCCTTCTACTAGACCCCGACGGTTCAAAGTGAGTGACAACAGATATGCACCTCCAATCAATAACCTGAACAATACAAGGAAACACCCACACTAAACTTAAAAAAAAGCCCATGTACGGATGAACTCAAACTGCTGTACACATAAAGGAGAGGCTCTTATGAGTGTATATATGTATACACTATTTATGACAGTTTTGACAGTTCGCCTACTCCAAAACACTGCCCTACACTTCAGTGATGACCGACCTGTGTATGGGAGGAATCTGAAGGCTCAAAATCTTTGAAAGTTGAAACGGGATGTCAGAAAGAGACTCCTTTGGAAGGGGCAGCATTTTACTTTCATACTGTGGGAAATATACCGGCCTCACTGTTGGAGTGGGACAGGCAGCGACGGCCTCATTGAATTTTCGCACGAGTTCTGTTGTCCTACTCCATTTATTTGCGAGCTTTAAGAGCGAAAGTCGATACTCGGGAGAGGTCTCCGGTGCGATTTCCCTAACTGTAAAGTGCGCGAACTTAACCATCGACCTCAGCACCATTTCAGAAGTGATAGCCTTGTTCATTTCAGCTGTTTGCCATAGCTCCATTGCATGCAACTCTTCAACAGCCTGTAGCTCCCGAGAGATGTGGGCAACGCAGGGGTCAGCAGAGGCCTGCAGGCGAATTCGAAATTAGCATCCGACAGTTCAAGAAAAAAGCTGGTCCACGCTGACAATGATGTCCAAACACTGTTACACGTCTGCTAGGTCTTCTAGGTTACGTGAATGGTCCGGTGTAACTTTTCTGCTGGGAAGGATCTCATTTAATACCTCTTCGAGGGTGACGGGAGGCACCGTTCGTTCCAGATCATTCAATACAGCAGTAAGTGTCTGTATGAGAGAAGAGGGGCAGGCAAATAACCGTGAAAAGTCAACAAAGGCAAGGATAAAGTTGCAGTTTAACTAGGGTCAGACCCTTGTGCTACTACGGTAGTCAAGTGAATCAACGAGCAACGCGTGACAAAAGATTTCTGTGTGGGCGAGGGAGGTAGGAACTCTTGTATTAGTGCAATACCCGTCCCCCTTTCCACCTATTGATTTATCTCAAGAAATCGCTTGAAAGGAACGATACACTAGGGAACACGAGGAACGTGTTGAAAGGCTAAAAGTATGGGCTACCGTCGATCTTGAGTGAGCTGCTTCAGGCGTTCTGTCGTACCTCAGTACTCTCCATGGGAAGGCTCATCGGTACATAGCCAAGCATCTGTAGAAAAGAGTAGACACACACCCGATACAGTTAACTTTTACTGATTGCTGCGAACTATTATGGTTTAACTGCGGGTAAAGGCGGGCCCACTGATTGTCTTTACTTCTGAGGGCTGGTTCGAGCTTACAGGCAAAGAAGGATCGTTCAGACGTCTATGAAGTTTGTCCACTGCCTGCATGGTGTGGATGTCATCAACGGCAAGGTCCTGAACAGAACGATACGCACGCTGCCAATAGAGAATGAAGCATCACACGAGTTATTACAGGTTTTGCTTAGTTATTTAAGTTCACTAGAAGCACGGGCCCACAATATTAAGGAAGCCTTGCTCTGTACGATCCTTCAGAACATCTACATGGCTAGTGAAAAACTCATGCAGAGTGTTTTTTTTGTTTTACCCTGCATCGGTCGACGAAGTGCTGGTCCTTCCTCAACACGACAGTGCACAGGACGAACCCCTTGTCAGCCAGGCGTCTCAGCATGTTACTGCGCTGAACATTGCATGAGACATTCCCACTAGCAGGCATAGCCATTAGATACGAAGGGAAAAGAGTTGGTGCCAAACACACATCGAACCAAGCAGAGCCTTCTGCGGTTAAAGGGTAGCCCCCCTTTACTTTAGGGGTAGGTAGCCCTAAAGGGCGTGCTCACCGGTCTTCTGCATAGGCCAAATACATTTTGGGGGGCTTGTTCCAATGCTCTACGGTATTCTTCCTCGTTGGCCACCGCATCTTTGATATCAACAATTTGTGGGTCAAGCGGAATGCTGTCGCCAGGTGAAGCAAAAACTTGGTCCTTTTGGCTACTGTCAAACAAGCTATTTAGCTTTGCTTGCTTGTTAGCCCTCAGCAACCTCACGGGCTCCCTTCCACGTGGCTGTTGACTGGCTGCTGGCTGCATGAAACAGACGGCGCCAAGTTCCGCGGAGAGCCGAGCCCTCATGCGAGACAGCCACGAAGAAGGTTTGCGAACAAGGAGATTCCGATGCAATCTCGCCGCTTTTTCCCTCATTCTCAGTAGATGCAAAGCATGCACCTTCAACGCCGCTGTCAAAGACTGCAACGATGCTTTGTCGGGGTCTACAAACCAATTGGTCGGCTGAATGTACACATTTACCGGCCGAAAATAACAGCGCCCCATAACACAGTCTGAAACAACGTGTACTTTGTAGACGTTTGTTATCTGCGTCAGAACAGCAAAGATGCAGCGAACAAAGAACACTCTAGAGCCCAAAACATATCACAAGCCTGTTGAGTAGAGTCCTAACAAATACAGAGGGTGCTGGGAAGTCGGTTTCAGCAAAATCATCCTGCTTACCGTAACACGTGGGGGTAGCCTCAAGAAGGTGCTCTGCAGGCAAACATTATGGCAAGGGCAGAGAGTTGAGGCTAACACTAACCATGCTAACGCGTTTCGTAGAAGTGAGAGAGACGCGGCTTTTGGGATTGTGTGAGAGCCAAAGCAGTTTCCTATACCGTATCGCTTCTGGCCCAGGCGAGAGGAGGATCAAGCAAACAGCATTGTAAAACCGCCGTAGCAACGAAAAACAAGAACACGAATGTTTCAGACTAACCTGAGGGCTTTCGTTTGACTGCAATACGCAAGCACGCACCAGATAACAAAAAGGGGAAATGGCAAGATGCGGGTGTCGAGGCAAATTAGCAGCACACATGCCACATGGCACATCTGCATTAGTCGAGCTGCCATTAGTAGCTCAGCAACAAATGAGGAGTCTTGCCCTCACCGGCTCTTTGGCTTCATCGCGAGCAGCAAGATCTTCGGGAAGCTGAAAAGAAATGCACAATACACAACGAGTGCAATGCAAAAAGTTGGCAACGTATGATGACCTCCTGTGGAAGCGTTTTGCGTAATGCGCGGAAGAACTGGGACAAGAACTGTCGAATGTCTGCGATTAAACTAATGGCACTGAACCGCCGACGCAGAACAGCGCTGCACTTTGCACTTTTGCGGGGTTATATGCGGGTGCCAAACCTACCAAAATAGGCTCCTTGGGCGACAGCGTCGGGTACTGCGAAAACACAAGAAAAGTGCACACATTCACTGTTCACTGCATGCTCTTGAAGTTTACGAGTCCACTGCATGGTGTACAATCCACATGACAGCTAATAAGGGTCAAAACTGACCACAAGACTGAATCCAACCTGCGATGAGCCACACAAAGCATAGGAGACACGCAGATAAAAAGTATGCGTATTTCTCTTCGACCCTAGTTTATATTCGCAAGATCTACTGTCAAAACGGCTAGAAATCGCAATACAATAAAACTCACTTTAGATATTGCAGGCGTATACGCCGCTGCTTGAGAGACAATAGGACCCTGAGGACAGAGTAATAAACAGGAAAAAAAGCCAGCATGCCTTCCTTGTGCAAGGAGGTGACTTGATTAGTATAGCGATTTGTGGTTGTTTTGTGCTGCCTAAAGATTTCTTCTGGCACTTCAAGCGCGAGCCGCTGGGATATTCGCGCACTTGCGGGTCACTCGAGATACTGGATGCATCTGATGAACAAGAAACACACAAAGCCAAGACCACCCATTCTGACAAGGCCTAGTATGTTTTGGACAGACGCCGGGCTCATTTCTATGAACCGGAATTCGGCCTCTAGCTACCAGCAGTAAAGGAGGAGATGGTAACATTCGCACTACTCGATAGACCTCCCGCGACCTTGCGAAGTTAACTTCTTCGCCGCCTGTCTGTACATATTCTGCTATGAAATGTTCTAGTTGACTCACCGTTGATGTCTGCAGGTCCAATTTCTGGGGGGTAGGGATTCTCGGCCTTAGCGCGAGAACATGGGAGCCCAACCCCCAGTAGTAGTGCCGCCACGACTCCCCGGAGAAGTCTTGACATCCTAGAAGTTGAAGTGATTTATGCCTCCTAAATACAGAGACATGGCTGAGTTTGGAAGCAAGCAGGGGAATACAGGAGAAAAGGCCTTCCGCGGAAACGAGGCTCGGCCGACGACACTCGGCACTGCTCTGCGTACATGGACCTCCCTCAGCTTGTCCCCCAGCGTCTTCCTTGAAGATGCCGGTACAAATAATACACTTGATTTTAAAACAGATATTTTGTATCAACAGGAACGGGTCAGGATATCTGTAAAACGTGGGCCGGGGGCCCCTCGCGGCAACGCTGTAGTGGACTTCCACTGCCGGCGCTGCAAAGCCGCTGTACACACAGCTGCGGACAGCACAAAGAAACGGCTAAAACACTTTTCAAATATAAATTTAATATCAATAAGCAATTATGGTTGTGTAATAGGGGACAATATGTTTTCCTCGAAGTATAGTTCGTAGACGCTCAGTCTAGAAGCAACTGTGCCTGCAGCTAGCAACCTTTGTCCTCGACACCGTAGACAGCGTTGCAGGGAAGTTTGCCCCTAATGACCAACTGAACTCTTACGAACAATTTGTGTAATTCATAAAATTTATGGCCCTTGAAAATCTCGGAAGGCTTGGAAAAAACCTTTAAGACAAGCCGGCCTGCTGGACTAATGCACTCGTGAGAATGGGCTGAGCAAAATACAATTCGGGAGTATTCCGCTCTTGAAATCACTGTATAAATATTGCCAAAGCTACTGGCGACTGTCCTTAAAATTTTTGCTACCAGAAATGAGTTTTCGGGGGCAGAATCCCGCACGATTCCCCAATGCGGAAGACCGTGTTCCGTATTGGATCCTTGAACTGACTGGTTTGGGATGTTCTGACTCAGACAGCGTACTTTATTATCTATATGCTGTATTATTCGTCGAAGTTAGCGAATCACAGCACTGAGCTGCACTGCAATCAAAATACTTCAAATACGACAATTTCTACACAGCAGCTATAGACCCCTCTGCACTCTGCATAGGTTCAGGTAGCATTGGGGAAAATGCTGTCTGGTGTAGACAGGTTGCAGATTATATCGTGAGTTAAAAGTCACTTTGCTCATACACCTGTTACAGGACAACACGCATGGAGGCATGCAAACAGCCTTTCTTGTGATGCATGCATTGACAATGCAAGCAGTTGTTACGCAGTTACTTGGCTACTAGCAGACAACGTGAGAGCAAGCAAAAGTGCATATAATGGGAATTCAAAACGCAGTAATCCGCATCTGAAAACCCTCCCTCCTTAAGGCTCGTGCGCTGTGGTGCCTGGCCCGGGGGTGCAGCGACGGGAGAACAAATATTTGCGACAAGCGCTGGTGGCCCCAAAAAGGAAAGGAAGACGAAAAAGTAGCCCAGGGTACTACAGGCAAGTGCTGTTACTGTTTCTGTATTCTGTTGCATCAAAATCCTTGAGTGCTGTGTCTGTGCTAGAGTCCTCACTGCATTTACTCCTACATGGTCTCAAGCCGCCTGCTTGTACCCACGTAACTGTATAGCAGTTTGCTGTGTGCAGCGTCAATTCATGCATCGAAAAAGAGCTGGCTACATGCCTCCATGTGGTGTTTTCCTGTAACAGGGGTCTCAGCAAGGTGTGCTACAACTCATGATATAATCTGCAACCTTTCTTCACCAAACCAGCAATTCTTCCACAGTTTTCCCAGAATGCGACGCTATGAGTCGTCGCTGATGGGTGAGACATCACTCATCATTTGCCTGCGAGCCAACCTGTTGCACCAGCTACTTCAGAGATGCAAAAGCTTCCGGTTAGAATGGTCGCAACTCATCCTCCTTGTGCACAGTTTGCTGCAGTCATTGCAGATTCTGCCGCACCTGCCAATACTCCACCTTTTGCTGTCCCTTCTGGTCCTCTACTTCCTCCGCCTGCCTCCTGCTGCCGGTTTGCCGTGAGCGTTGATACTGGTGCTCCTGCTGCTGCTGTAGGTATTACCGACTCTGTTGCTCACCTCTAACAGTGGTAATGCTCCCCTTTACACATGCAGATGCAATGAATTCACCTGCTTCTGTGGTCTTGCTGTCGTTATGTTTGCTGCTTGGCCTTTTCTCGTTTGTCCTGTAAGCCGCGTCGACTTCTTCTTTTCGTCGATTGCTACTGCAAAGACCAGCTAAAACGCTAGAGACTCACGAACCTTTGAGTAAAACAAGCGAAGTGTTACCCTTTGGGGTTCTCAGCCTCACGAAGAGGAACGCTCGTGGGTTGTAGTGTGCTTGTGTAGGACCACAGGGACTGCGTCAACAGAAGAGGCAATTCGTGACATCTTAGACGGAAGACGAAACTGCGAGAAAAGGAACGACCGGAAGGAAATAAACTAAGAACATCTATCAAACTCCCAGATGCAGGCACAGCGCGAAGGTCCCACCAGAAGCTGAAGCAAACGCAGCAGCACGACGATTGGCCGTAAGGGCAGCAGCATAAATAACTGCTGAACTTACACATGCAACAGCAGCAGAGGCATCTGATACCAGATACAGTGGTTAGAGAGCATAAAAGCAACACATGCAGCAGCAATGGAGCCAGTAGCCACATATGTGTCAGGAGGAGCCCAATGGAGTAGCAAAAGCAACACGCCCTATAGCAGCAGCGAGGCTGGCGCTCCCCTTTAGCACCGCTACAAACTTGCCTCCGACCAGGCATACGCAATGTTCTTCTGGTTCCGGTCACGCGTACCTGCTCATCTGCTCTTCGGATAGGGTGCGGCAGTGCACGTGTAGAATGCATGTCTGAGTTGCACGCGTATGCCGAGTTACGTGCAGACTAGTTGCGGAGAGCAACTAAGTGCCTAACAATTGCCCACAGCAGTAGTGCATGAGTTCAAATGGAGCGTGGGCATTGCTGCTTGCGGCTTTGCCTTGAAGGAGGCGTCCCAACAAGGTGGATCCGCCTCCTCTAGGCACCAACCTCAACCCCCCTGTGCGCTTTTCTCAGGGAGCCTGGAAGCTGTACGTCAATGTTGCTTTGTAAATTCAGTTACCTGAGGTCTTTCGATTCTATTGCAACTCATGCCGGTCCTCTTATCAGCGTGGCGAGTTCAGCAGCGCCCAGTTAAACGCAGCTGCAGTGTTTAGACGAGTGACTCCCATAGAATGCCAGCGTGGATATAGGCATTTAATACTGTTCAAGCAATTACTTGGTAGACTCTCATAAAGTAAGGGCCGAGGAGTACGCTCAGTGGCCACCTTAGTTGCTGCGTTGCAAGATTGGTCATTTCTGCAATTGCTCGTTCTCCTTGCGAAGCTCTGGCTATTTCGTTTTACTTAATTTGGCGTTTTGGCAGGCGACTGTTAAGAGATCTCATGTGTCGTTATATCTGAGGCGGTTTACTTGCTGCCTTCGGATCGCTCTGCATGCATCCTCTCGACGGCAGCCTGTTTCATATATCGGGAAGCTGTACATACAACTGACGAGCAGTTGTTGAATCAAGGAAATCGCCCTAGTTTACTGCAAGTTCTTTTGTTTGAGGCTTCACATGGTTTGAGGAAATGACTGGCAGCCCAACGCCTGCAGGGTCTCCCCCTGCCACAGCTGCTGACGTCCATCCAGGGCGCATCAACGTGGGCCAGCATTTGCCCTATACCGGGAGAGAAGTTGAAATCTTCTCTCGTTATGGGTACTTCTATCCTCCGGGGTACCTCCCGAATACGCCTTACAACGGCTTTAGAGGGTTCGCCACAACCCTCACACGCACTCAATTCGGCATGAAACCCAATGTACGCCAGAAAACTGGAGCACCGGCACTGCAGCAGTTGTCCTTCTTGTCACTTAGCATGCGGATGTGCGTTGGCAGGCTTATTGTGAGGAGTGTCAGTGAATGGCACGCAAGCACAGGTCCTGCGCTGCGCAGCAACACGCGCGTTTACACTGGGATTGAAAAATGTCTTTTTGTCTGTTCCCCGATTGTTTTGCTGCAGTATTTCGTCTCCTTTGGAATTGGGGCTGCGAAGCTTGCCGGGTGTTTTCTTCTGTTCTACTTCCCCCTCGACAACGTTTACTGCGACCTCCGGAAAAAGGTGAAACCCAACAATACCCTGTAAAAATTATAGAGCTCACAGCCAACGGATGAATTCCCCCTTAGTTCCTGCAGACGGGAGAGAGATAGGGATTGGCACTTGTGACTTGCGTCAGGCATCGTGTAATTTCTGTGTTTGGCTGCAGCAACGGGAGCGACGAGAGAAACTGCGCGCCAACTAAAACAGCTCCTGTGCACACGAGAAGCGCTAAACAGAATCCAACCAAAATTTCCGTAGTCATTGCAGATTAACATCCCAACCTCAGTGTTCCATTTGGAGGTGTGATGTTTGGAATGTGTTCCCGAGCCTTCATTGCTCGTGGCCCTAGGCGGTCAGCCGCTGGGGATTCATGACCTGCTGGGCAGGCCATAACCAGAGGCTGGTCGTCTACGGACCCCTTCCCCTTTATCCATAAATGGAATTAAGGGTTCAAAGTACCGTTTGTTCTAACTGCACTAGCCTGTCACCAACGGGTTAGTAACTTTCCTGTAGCTAGCTGGACTGGGAAGTGCCCTTTAAGTGATGGCCACGCAGCATATATATTTAGGTATGCTGCGCTTAGTAGTAGTAAGTCAGAGCTTGGTGGGTCATTGAAGCTACACGTCTACAAGAGTAGTCAGGTGTAGAACTGACTGGAGGCGTGCTATTCGTACGCAGAATTCGCAGCTGGTTGCAGTGGCATCTGCTTGGCACTGGGGTTTGATGCACTGTTGGGGATATGTCAAAGTAATGCCTATCCGGCAACAGGATGAGCTGAAAGACTACCTGGGGACACAAAGGGGGTCCCCAACGTGCGGCTCGTCTTATCCACGTTCTGCGTCAAAAGTGCATCGCATGAGTCTAATAAAAAAAAACACTAGCCCAAGCCAGTGCTGAAGGTAACTGCCTGTTCAGATGGTTTCCAGTCTGCACGAAAAATTGATACTGAAAAGAATGCAGCGTGTCAAATCAATCATCATACATCAACTGCATCTGTTCGTGTACGACGACGGCGTCGAGGTCAATTGCTGTGCAGTTGTTAATCGCGTAGAGCAACCGCTCCCTCATTATGGCGACGGAGGAGTAGAGCGGCATGACCAGCCGGAAGCTGCAAGTGGCCGCTGTTGGAAGCCGATTGTCGTTAACAGTGGCGCCACGCTGCACATAGCAGTAGAAAACAGAAACGGATGGGAAGTAAATCAGAGGGAACCTACGGACCCCTCACCCTCGAGAATGGAAGCCACGGAGCCAGAAAGGCCTGCAATGCAATAAGGGTTCTGGTGATGGGAACAACCCGGTTCGAAAACTTACATCAATAGTTTCGTAGTCCACGGTCATCCGCCAGTCACTACTGGCGACCGGTAGACGCGAGCGACCGCAGACGAATCTGCAGGCAAATGAATTCCAGGTTGCATGAAGTGAGCAAATGACACAGTTTGCCACTTGATAAACTGGCTGAGGAACCTAATTACATCTTTCAGAGCAGACAATGCACTTGGTGCACTTATCACAGAGTTTAACAGACTCCATATCCTTACGAGACAAACCGAACACTTGTAGATGTGGTATATGTAGAGGTGTAGCTTGCCTGAGGAAGCGTTGCACCTGCTCATTGGTGAAGGACTCCAGAATTTCAAAAAGCTGCACTTTAAGCCTTTCTGACGAGCACTCCGTGTGCTCTTTCAGCGTGGCTACATCTACTTCTCGGTCTCCGCAGACGCGATACTCCAACCGCCTGAGTTCAAGGCAACTCCGCATTCTAAAGCAAAAGCTATATATCAGAAAAATCACCTATCCTCTTAAACCCAAAATCACAATGGAGTGGCATCACACCAAACGCAGAGCAGCCACTACCGTGTCAGAATCCAGAGCTAGACGGTCTAGTAGCTATATAGGTAAAAGGAACAGTATCCTCTAACCCACCGCCAGTCGAACAGAAGCCGCAGGCGGCCTAAAGGCAAGACGGCGGCGATGCCTCGCAGCACAGCCTCGATGCCTTCTTGGCCCTCAAGAAGACGAAATCGTTCAGAGAGGCGAATAAAAGTCGCCAAATTGAAGGCATTGACGGGAACGTCTGCGCCCCCCTCCACTAACTCGCAAGATCTGCCTAGAGTGTCCTCGGCGCTGAATGTCATATCCGACAAGGAGGCTTCCATCGTCGCGTCCCAGAACTGCGGCGGCACTGCAGCAAGGCGCCGGAGAGAGCGAAGCATCTCCACTGCTACGCAATCGGAGTCCGCTACGTCCTGCATAAACAGATGAACACAAATACACACATGAAAAGCCACTGCAACAGTACAGCCACCGCATCCCCAACAAGAAACACTCGGCTAAGATTGCATCAAAGGGATGCCAAAGGGAAGACTAACCTCAATACTCAATGGGGCTGCAACAAGTTTCTTCCACAAGAGGGGGTTGAAGGTAACGTTAAAAGCACTTCCGATGCAGAAGCACATTGCCATAAGGCGACCCAAGGCCTCATACATGAGGATGTAAAGATCTTCATTCGCCACAGCCTCCCCTTCTGCCGGCGGCGAACTCGCCGTGCGGTTTGCCCCGGCGGTTGGCGATCCCTGCAGCTCCTCCCTGCGCGTCGTTGCTGCCAAAAAAGGGTCTTCTAGCGGATCTCTGTACGGCAACCCCAAGCCGTCCGGGTCGTGCCCGCGAGGCAGAACGCGACGGGCGGGCGAGGGAAGAGCGCTCAAAATAGTGTCAGACGTCCAGAGAGTTTCTGCTGGCAAGTTGCGGCGGAGGCGTCTTTGGTGGATGCCCAGCTCTCTCGGAACTGGGTAGCCCTCCCCTGGAGGGATAACCGCATGCAGACGGGACGCTACATCCGCACGGTGCTCAGAAGTTGCTTGGTATGGCTCCTGGCAGCCGTGGTTGCTTCTTCGGCTGCTGTCAGCAATGCTGTTGCCGCTATTTTGTTCCTCTGGAGGAGGAGGCGGCCTCAAGTCGGCTGCGGAGACCAGGGGATCCGGCAAAGCCGAGCGAGCGTCGGGGCGGAGCACGACGGAGTCCTGGTGGGGTCCAATTGCATGCGTAGCGTTCAGACACGGAAGACATGGCATGAAGGAGGAGGATAGAAACGCGTCTGGTGTTTCCGCTACAGCCCCCATGACTTCATTTGCAACCCCGGAGAGGAACTCTTGGAACGGACCGCCGAAGTCTGTGGCGCCTTCCCCCCTAAACACCACCAGAAAAGGCCTGTCGCCTACTCTGGCTCGCAGGCGGCAGGGGTTTGCTGCAGCTGCGAGGAGCTGCATCGTGGCCTGACACCACAATGTGTGCTGCAGGCGTTTGGCTGTTGCTGCCTGACCCCGGTCAAGCCTGAGCGAGGGCTGCTCTCGGCTCGAGAACCCCAGCTTCTCAACAATGCTCCTCCATAGCGAACTCACCATTACGTTGGTCAGCAACGGGCGTAAAAACAAATACACGCTCATTTCAATCGGCAAGTCGGAAGGGCCCACCTGTAGAACCATCTTGCTGCTGCTGCTCAACGGCACGCGCGAGGGGGTTCTCATCTGTGAGTCCACTTCCCGCACAAGACCGCGGAAGAACTCAGCCCCTGGCTGAGCCGTCAGCAAGCCGTAGTAGTTAAGCGGCAACTTGGGAATGTTGAAAACAGGAGCGACCGACGGGACAGCTCTGCTGCCGCATGCACACAAGTGCTCCAGGAGACGCAACCGCAATCCAACGACCTGCTGCAGCAGTGCCTCCAGCGGAGTATCTGAGGCCACCTCTTGTAAAGCCTCTCTAATCTGCACAACAAACAAGCAGCAGGTGGAAATTCGATGCAACAGTCGGGATGCATGCACAAGCCTTACACCATAAATTCTAAAACCTACAGCACACAGACCAAGCACGCAACGGCCCCAGAGCGTGCGACATCTCGTGCTGCACGAAACGCTAGAGCCCAGGCATAGGACTTACAAGCGTCACGACCTCTTCTTTGAGCGCCGCTGCTCTCTCCAGCTCCTCCAGAGCGTTGGTTTTTCCGCCGAGAGGGGAGGGGGCGTTGCTGTTATTGTTTAGGGAAAGAAGTAGGGCGTCTCGGTCTCGATCTGCCTGCCATATGAGGGTCGCAATTCGCAAGTGTTTATCGGGTTGGGGTACTGCGCGTCCCTCCTCTGGCCCATCGAGAAGGTCGAGCAGCTGCCGCAGCCAGATGTCCAGTTTCACCGGCCAACGACTCGACACCGTCTGCAAGATGAAGGCGTCGCGTTCCACCAAAGCCTGCACTACCAACACACCCCAATTCCCACACGAGGCCGGCGTCCCCTCCGCCTGCAGCGGGCGAGTCTCTTGGCTCCATATCCCCGCAGAGGCCTCCTCAAGTAGTTGCACGTCCGGAGTCCACACGAGGCCCCCGGGCCCTCCCACGGCCACTTGATAGCCCAAATCTTGCGCTACCCGCTGTCGCCATAGGCGTCGCTGCATGCTCTCAGCCCAGCCCCTTCGCGTGCCTCCTTCGATGCTGCAAGCCAACGAATCCAGCGACAGAAGCAACCTGCAAAGGTCTTCTGGGCTCTCCGCAGCATCTGCTGATGCTGCAAGCCGCTGCAGGCCGCTGCTGTGACAGGTAACTGCAGCAGATGCTGTCGGGAACGCCTCCTCCCGCGCGCCCCTTTGTCTTAAACCGTCGGACCTGCGCGGCCCCGCAGGGATGGGGCGAGGTCCCTGCTGCGGCGGCGAAGCTGCCTGGGGCTGGGGAGGCGGTTGTTGCATCCGCTCAGCTGCTGATTGCTCCTCCAGCAGTATCAACCGCCTCGTGATGACGGCTAACACCATTTGCACGTCCTCGAAACCCTCTGCGACGGCCAGGCTGCAAAGGAGGGAAGGGGATATGGACGCAAGAGGGGCGCGCAACGGTGGAGAAGGCCCTTCTGAGTGTGGGGAGGAAGACACTCCTCCACTCAACTCCAGGCCCCACACCAGCAGCTGCTGCAGCAAAGTCCGGGGGTCAGCGGATGCCACCGGTACACGCCCTTCAGGAGGCCTCAGCAGGGACGGGAGCACAAACCCAGTCGAGCTGCTCCTGCTGTTGCTGTTACTGCCGGTGCTTGGCTGGTGGCTCCCTCCTAGAGTACCCGAGGCGCCGCCTGACATGCGCTGCTGGGGAGTCACTGCAGCGGAGTTGCTGCTAATGAGGCTCGTTGTCGACGGCCTGCCAGCCCTTCCCACTATTCCCCCATCCACGTACTCCAGTATTTTGTCTCCCGCGCTGCTAGACTGAGGCAGCATGGGCCCCTTCAACGCTGACAACCTCCAGACTCCACTTTGTCCCTGCGGCTGGCACCCACAAGGCGTGGCCCCATGCAGCAGAGCAGCTGTCACCTCGGGGCTCCCCCCTCCAGGAGACGGCAGCATCGGCTTGCCGCCTTCAACGCCATGCGCGTCACGGCGCTCTCCGTCAATATACAGTGCATGAAGCCCCAGCACCGCCTCCCCTGCTCCCCCCACCACCACCGTACAGTTCGCAAGGAGAGAGCCCCACATCCAGGGGGTGCATGCGCTCACGCCAGTGGCCTTGACAGCCTCCGGTGCCGCCTTCCAGGTGCTGTTGCTGCTGTAGACTGCAGCAGCAACGAGTCCCGCCTGGTGCAACTGTCCCGTTACTGTCGCGTACCTCAGTAGGGCTGCCACCGCGTCGACACGTTCCTGTGGAGCCCCTCCAGGCCCCCCTCCTCTGGAGCCGATGAGGTCTAATGGGGTGAGGCCCGCATCGTTCTTAAGTGTGGGGTCTGCTCCAAGAGACAAGAGGAGCTTAATAGTGTTATAGCAACCCCGTCTGTACACCGGTGCTGCAGCCGTGGGCCTCCCGTTGTTAACAGAGGGATCGGCAGCTCGAAGAGCCGCCCTGTGAAGCGCTGAGTTGCCTTCAGCGTCTCTGCGGTCCACCCAAGCTCCGTATCTACACACCAAAGTCGCCACGAGCAGATCCTGTCCTAATTCAGCAGCCAACATCAAAGGCGTGCTGCGGTCACTGCTGCTCCCAAATCCCTCGGGGTTGCAGCCCCCCTCCTCTATCAGCACTTGAACGACATCAATGTAGCCTTGCTGTACTGCCAGCTTCAGGGGTGTGTCGTGCGCGTGTTCACCATACAGAGCTGCGATGTGCTGCTGCAGCTGCTCCCCTTGCCGTTGTGCGCTGCTGCTTCTGCTGTTGTTGCTGTTGCCGCTGCTGTTCCCGCCGCACCAGGTCGCCAACTGCTGCTCCAGCGACCCGAAGGTGCAGCTGGCAGGGGCTGTCGCTGCGTCTTGAGCCTCCAGCCAGTTGGGGAACTGCCCAAAGAAAGCTGCAATCCACCGCACGTTTCGGTCTCGGATAGCTTGGAACAACGCATACACTGTTCCCTGGTGTACCTCCAGGTGCCGAGCTGGCGAGGGGGGCCCGGGAGCCCCAACGCTTCTGGGGCCTCCAGAGCTGCATGCAGAAACTAACTCGGTGCTCCTGAACCGCTGGGGAGGAAAGAATATCGTATCGCGTTCTTTTACCACAACAGGAGACGCAGGACCCTGAAGCGCCTGTTGGTGGTTCAGATGGTCGTGCTGTAGCTGATTTGACACCAACAGCTGCTGCTGTTGCAGCTGCTGCTGGTGTTGCTGTTGCTGTGTTTGTTGTTGCTGCTGCATGTGCAGTTGCTGCTGCTGCATCTGGCGAGCAGCAACGGCGGGCCCCCACTGATAGAACTTCTCAAAGCTGAAACCAAACTGGTAGACATCGTTCTTCTTGAAAAGCAAGGCGGGTATGGAGGGTTGAAACTCCACTTCCACAAGGTCTCTGGGGGAGAAACCCGGGACTCCAACAGTTACATGTGCCTCCCTCCAACCGTCTGTTGATGCCTTAGGCCCCCCGCGCAAGTTCAGCTGGGCCCCCATTGCATGCAGTCCCATAAGCTCCCCAAGAGGCAAATCCAGGGGGCACAGAAGCCGACCGTTTGAGAACCAAAGCCAACGACACAAACCCCACACAATTCCCACCATCTGCGTCCCCGCTGAAGCTTCACTCACCCCAGGACTGCCTCTGAACTGCACTCGGAAAGGCAACGCCGGGTGTATAGACCCCACATCCAGGAGAGGAACGCCGCACCCTCGGCCCCCATCCTGAGGGTCGCCAATCTGCCCAGTCACAGCCCCTTGCTGCTGGCGTACATTTACCATGCATGGTGGGGCCCTAGGGCCCCCCGGAGCAACCGGGGACCCAGCAGACAAGAGCGAACGCGTGGGTGCAGAGGAGGCCCCCACGTGCACCAGAGGAGCTTCCACCGCGCCGTGCTGCACCAATTCCCCCAATGGTGTGCTCAGGCTGGGTTGGCGGGAATCGGTCCAGGGGTCGGCGCTTCCGGCTGCGGCGGCGGCAGCAGCAGCAGCGGCTGCTGCTGCAGCCCTTGCCGCCTCCAATTCTTCCGGAGGGCTGTCGATTGGGGCCTCCTCCATGACGGGTTCGCGACTCGTCTCCGGCCTCTGCACCCACCTCCAAACTGCTGAGGAGTAAGTAGACGGGGCCCCTACTGGCAACCGCAAGCTGACGCCTCCCCGGATCTTCGGAGATAACGGGAACACGCGCCAGAGGTGACCCGCGACGGGGCTCCCGCCCGCAGTACCTGCTGCGCATGCAGCAGCCGTACTGTGGCGATTCCCTGCAACATCCTCTTCCTCCCGCTGGCCAAAGGCCCTAGGGTCCCCCAAAGCTGCAGCAGCCGCTGCTGCTGCGGAGGCAGCAGCGGCCGCTGCGGAGGCAGCAGCGGCCGCTGCGGAGGCAGCAGCGGCCGCTGCGGTGTCCTCTCTCCTGCCGCTGGCCGCTCCTCCAGGGGCCCCTAGAAGTTGTGCCGGGCTATCTGCGGGGGCAGGCTCGAGGGAATAGAAGACCTCGTTGAAAGGGACAACAACGGGGCATTTTGTTTCTGAAATCCCCAGCGTCGCGACGAAGAGGAGACGCCTCCAGACAGCGGAGACAGCCGGAGGGGGGGGGACGGCTCCAGGCCGCTCCCCCACCAGCAAGACAGGCACCACCGCTGTGCAACCCGGCGGTAGCATCTGGGCCGCAAGTAGCTGCTGGTTTTCGAACCACAGGAGGTGGCGCCCCACCGCTCGGAGCACGAGCTTGAGGCCCGGCGAGCCAGCGATGGAATGAAGCGGCTGAGGGGGCCTCTTCTCCCCCCGCTGTGTTGCCAGTAAGGAAGCGAGACCAGTCCTCTGGTCAGTTCGGAGAGGACCCCCTAGCTGGAGCCCCCAATGCCTCCCCGGTAGCTGCGGGTCGAAGCCGCACTGCAGCTCGCGCGATGTTAGCTGCAGCAGCGCGGCGTCGGAGGTCCCGTCCCAGTTGCCAGCTAGTAAGGTCCCCCACTGTCTGCTATCTACGGCTCCAAAGAAAACGCGGGTCAGCGGGAATCCCTCCTCGACCCAACTCGCATTCCCGGTGCGCCCGCCTGCTGCTGAATGTACCGCAAAACTAACACTGCAGCAAGCAGAAGAAGCTCCGCATTGCAGTGCCAGGCTGCTGCATGCATATACCGCTCGTCCGCCTCTTGAAGACCCGTGCAGATTCGAAACCTCTAGACGCTCTGCTAATCCCTCGCCGCTTTCAGCCTCACAACCATTCGAACCCTCGCAAGGCTCCCGAACCACCGAAAGCTGCAATTCGTCCTTCCCGAAGTCCCCTTCGCTGCTGTTGTTGCTGCTACTGGTGGTAGGAAAACTGTTAGTAGAGGTGGCGGAAGGCCCGACAAGCATCCAGCCTGCCGTTTGGCTGCAGTTGCTGCTTTCCCCAACCAAGTGTTCAAGACTTCGGTCGAGGGCGACGAGGAGACGGGGGCTTTGCCGCAGCTCGCTGGCCCCGGCTGGCCTTATGTCGTCGGCTATGGCTGTCCCCCTCTCCATATCCGCCGGCACCTGCAAACTGCCGTGCAGCAGCGGCTGTCCCCGCCTCTGCGCTCCGAACACAGGCTCCAGATTCAGCAGCAAACACGACCCTGGGAAGGCCTCAAACCTTCCCACCGCGCTCGTGCTGCCGACTGGCTCTGCAATAGAGACAGAAACCGGCAGAGTCTGCACTGCACGAACGAATGGCAAAGGAAAGGAGACTGCTGGCGATGTGGTATCGTCGGCTAGAGAGGCTCCCTGGGCTCTTGGGACCCTCGACAACTCAGTTTCCATCACACCTGCATCATCGCTGCCGCGGCGCCGAGGAGCAGCGGCGTGTGCACAGCTCGCCTCCACACTTCTGCTGCTGCTGCAGCTGCTGCTGCTCCTGCTGCTTCTGCTGCTGCTGCTCCTACTCCTGCTGCCTCTGCTCCCTCTGCTGCTAGCCCTGGAAATGGTGTTGAGGGCTCCAGGTGGAGGGAGGCCTTGGCTAGGTGTGATGCTGCAAGACGCATTGGCAACTCCCTCTGCAGCCATGAGGTAGGCAGTGAGGTCTGCAAGAAGAGGGACAGTATTGTGCTGCACCCAGGAGACAGCGCCCCAGCGGTCCGCCTTAAGGATGGAAACACAGGCATTGGCGAGATAGTGGGTTAGAAGGCTGCAGTTAATGCGGTAACGGACATGAATTCTGTTGAGGTCTGCTGCACAGAAGCAATCCAGCCTGGCGGGTCTCCAGTTGTTTACCTTCTCCATGTTGTCGAACACAGAGGCGCTAATAAAGCACAGACACTCCAAATAACCCTGAAGGAAACCCAGAAAACAACGACCAGGACCCGCAAGCAGACAGCCGCCAACCGTCGCCCTCACAACGGGAAACGCGTCCGCAGAAACAGCCTTCGGGCTCTGCTGCTGCTGCCCCGCTGCAGACGCGCACCATGCAGCCATTCCCGAAGAACCACCAGCAGAAGCAACAAATGAAGAAGATGCAGATACGGTAGGAGCGGGAGCATGTGCTGGCCATGTTTGGATTGTTGGGAGTGCATATCGTGAGAGTAGCCAGTGTGTCATGCGTGCTGCATCAAGTCCGAGTTTAAGGGGTAAGTTGATGCCGTTGACGAGGAGGCCAAATAGAGCAGAGTATGTGAGGGGGTTAACAAGGGCTTCCCTCAAGCTTCCCGGACATAGCGGGTGCCTCACGAACCCATCCATAAACCAATGTGCGACATACACAGAAGGTGCGAGGGCGCAGTACTTTGGGGTCTTTTTGCGGCGCCCCCCTGCATTTCCCACAACTTGGCCAACAGAACCCATCAGATGGTATAGCAGTTCGGTTTGCAGCAGCCGCTGAAGACGCTCCACGCACGCCTCCTCCTCCTCCTGGCTCCACTGAGTGACAGCCCGGTATAGAAGCCGCTGCCACCCGAACAAGGGGCACGCCTCCACGCTGTGTCGCTCAAGATCCTGCAGCAGCTGCGCTGAACAGGTACCCCCGTGAAGGTGCACCCTAAACGGCTGTTGATAGTCTGGAACTCCATCGTCGCTCTCCCGACTAATGAAGTAAGCACAGATACGCAACAGACGCAGCAGGTTGACAGCCCCTGGACGAGGCATGCTCTTCTTCAGCTCGCCAACACCGCGGCAACTCAGCGGCTCTTTTATGCCTCTGTAGCAAGAACAGACACAGGAAAAGCACAAAAAAAGACACACATGCACGCCCACACAGCGCCCAAGGGGTCAGTACAAACACTCACGCGCTCATGCTTTCATTAATGCAACTAATCCTAACTCGCGCAACTGCTGGCACAGCCTGACGGCCGCCTGCTGCTGCCGCTGCCGCTGCCGCTGCAGCTGCTGCTGTTGAAGGGGAGACAACAATGGCCTGCTATGGCCTGCTCTGTCTTACCTGTAAAGGCGGTCGAGGAGCATGTCAGGACAGAGAGCAACAATCGTGCATACGAGGTGGAGTGCGTCGCGCCGCAAAGCCCAGCGAAGGGGGGGCTCCAGCAAGCGGTGGAGCATGCGGCTGGACCATAGAGAGCAAGCGCCTTCATAGTTGAAGACGCGCACATCTACAGGCCCACGGAAGTGAATAAAACCCTTTTCTTGTCGCGGCCTTGGCAGCAGCAAGCTCGCGGCAGCAGCATTGTCCCACCCGTTGCCTAGGAGCTGCTGTACGCGGTGGAGGTGCCGTCTTCCCTGGTGCTGCTGTCCACACATGTTAGTGTCTCCTTTGTCCCCTCCTATTCCCAGCGCATCTACAGGCGGCGCAGTCTCCACCGCATGTGCGACTGTCTCTGCAACCGCGTCATTCCATGCTTCATTCACCTTGTATACCCAACCCCACACTTTTGCTGTCTCCCCTGCAGCCAACACCGCCTCTCCTGAGACCGTCAGCGGCTCTAGCCCCTCGGCATGCAGCACTACCTCTGGCACTCCGCAAAGACGTGCAATCTCCTCTAGCCTCAGCGGCGCCGCTCCCTCCGCTGCCGCCCCTTCTCCCTCTGTACCAGCAACAAGGCCTCGCCCTGATGCTGGCCAGGTCTGGTCAGACGCCCCCCCGAACCTGTCTTGAGGGGCAGCAGCAGCGCGGGAACCACATCCAGCCGCTGCGTGGACAGGGACCCCAGCTGTTGCTGCAGCTGTTTCTGCAGCAGCTGCTGGGGTAGCACCACTGGCTGGCGCCGTCACGGGTAGGCGCAAGTCGGGTACGCTGGCTGAGCGGGCGCTGCGTTGCTGGAAGGGTTGCTGGATGGTCGTTGATTGCAAAGCCCCAGTGGGCGTGCACGCAGGAGAGAATTCTGCCGTTGCTTCTTCAGCACCAAATGGATCAATCTGATGACTGGCTAGGCCGGAAGTGAGGAAGCAGAACTGCTCCATGAAGACAAAAACCTTAAGGAGACACTTTTGTGTGCGTGGACTAAGACGGGGGTCTCCTTCTGGTGTCTGCTGGAGCATGCTTCTAAGAAGGAGACAGAGTGCTACGATTGCTTTGCTGCCGAGGGTAAGAGCCAGTGCTTGCAGCTCTGCCCACTCAGAAGATGGAGCCACCACATGGCCCACAGCAGCAATCTGATGGAGTGTCCCTTGTATGACTGGGGAAGTAAGAAGCTCGGCAACAGCAACAGCCAACACCTCGCATTCTTCTAGCTTTAAACCCGCAACAGCAGACAGCTGTAAACAGGAAGAGCTCAACAGCCACGGCAACCCAAGCTGAGTTGCTGCTTCCCAGTTCTCTCCTTGAGCTGGCGCAGATGCCTGCTGCCCCGCTGCAGTCGAGGCTGTAGATGAAGGAACACCTCCTCCTCCTCCTCCTCCTCTAGCTGGACTTCCTGCAGCAGAGGGATGGATACCGTCGGGGTCAATTGTCCCAGGTGGCCGCTGTTTCTCTGCCCTCTCCAGTACTTCCTGCAGCTCCCCGCGACCCAGGCAGTCACAGCAGAGCACGCCAAGAGCAGCAACGCCACGCCTACACGTCACCAACATCTCCTGCTTCGCTCGTGCAGCACGCTGTTGCTGCTGCTGCTGGTACGGACACGGGCGCAATCCTGTGCTTGTCTGTCTCCGTGGAAGCTCCACCACCAGACCCTCCCTCCCTTTAACCTCATCCCCAGGCTGCTGCTGCTGCTGCAGAGACAGCTGGAGCTCACCACTTGACTCTCTGCCGAAGGCTGCGATACGCTCCTGTAGTCCCCTGTTGAGTGGCAGCTGCAGGCTCTCTCCTCGTGCTAGTCGTCTTTGCGTCGGGAGCGAGTCGTCTCCTTGGTTGTGGAGGAGATCGTACTGATGGCTGTTTGCAGCACAGAGGCCTTCGAAGATGCTGCCAAGAGACCCCGTACAGTGCTCTATGGTGGCTGCGAGTTGCTGCAGAGCATTACGTCTTTCTGCTCGCAGCAGCAGCGGTGTCTCCGGTGCCTGTAAGACAGCTTGGTATAGGCGGAGGCTTTGGACTACAAGAGGGTGCATGCGTATGGAGTTGAGTGTCTGCTGAGAGGGTGGGGAGGCAGCCGCAGCAAGACCTTGAGATGTATGATCTCCTTGCTGCCCACCGGAGACAGTCCCCTCCGCTCCTCCCTCTCCCGCTCCTCCCAGAAGCGCCTGCTGCCCATTGGCCTGGTGGGTGTCTGGATCTGTATACTGCAGCGTGAAGTCGGGTCCCCCGTATACAAGAGTGAGGGGATCTTGTAACACAAATACAAGGTTCATTCTGCGGCGTTGTTCAACTTGCGAGTGCTGATCATAAAATACCTCAAGCACTGATCCAATGCTTTCTCCGGAGACATGCAACTCGGTATGGAGACAGCGCTGACCGTTGGGTTGCTCATCAACAGAAAACTTCACACTTAAATAGTCTCCTGGCTGATAGGAGACAGTAGTAGCGAAGACATCCCCCCAGAAGGGAGGACAAGTGTCTGTACGAAACCCTACAACATCATTTCTTTCAAAGATTTCTTGTGCTGCAGATAATACGCAATCTGCAGGAGCGACTGTCACCCCAAACCTCCCAGCCGACCATACACGAAACCCAATAACATCTGCTGCTTCTCCTGGTTCTACCTGTAGGGCAGGGAAGGTAAGAGGAGCACGGCAGAGAGCAACACCTCCTAACTCTCTTGCACGTAATACGTGCAGAGTACGCCCGTGAACTTCGGCTCGAAACGTATCCGATGGTACCCCACATAAAAATACCTCTGACTGAGGCAATGCTGCAAATTCACCACCATCTCCGTCAGCCCCAACATCCTCCTCGGGTGCAGCAGCAGCTGCGGCTGCTGCGGAAGCAGAGGATGCCGCTGCTGCTGAGGAAGCAGCAGCAGCTGCTGCTGCGGAAACAGCGGGCCGCGAAGATAGCGTACCATCCAACTCCACTGCAGCTGAAGGACGGCTTCCAGGAAGCCCATCCACAGATGCGTTAGAGACAACGCCTCCGCCCTCAGCAGCAGGGGTCCAGCTAGGAGGTGATTGTGCCCCCTCCTGCTGTCGAGGATCGCCGGCCTCCCGCTGTCCTGGACCTACTTCCCCTTCGTTTCGCAACACCTGTTCGGGGCCTTCGGAAGCCAAAGGAGGCCTTTCAAGGGAACCGTCTCCTGTTGCCTCTGCCGTCTCCTGATGCAGCTGCAGCAGAGGCCCTGCAGAGTGCATCACGCTGCCTACGCTGACAGCCTGCAAAGGCGGCAGCAGCTTGCAACACGCCTCTGTCTCTGACGAGCTTTCCCTTGAAAAGAGACCCTCCCCGCTTCCCCCCCACACAAGAGCAGGAGTTCCTAATGCACTCCACGTGCCAGCAGAACAACCGACTCCTGTTCCTGCTGCTGTTACTGCAGCTGTTGCTGCAGCTGTTGTTGCAGACGTCGTTGACGTTGATGCTGCAGCAGCTGCACCTGCTGTTTCCGTTGCTACGGAGGGAAGCGCTAGACGGCGCACGCACTCCGTCAGCAGTTCATACAAACGGGTCTTGACAGGGAGAGTCCTAAGGACAGCCTCCAGCTGTAAGGGGAGGGCCCTGAAGTGGATTAAGAGGGTCTCCAGCAGCAGCACTGCAGCACTGGAGGAGGCCCTAACACATCTTAGCAGCAGAATAAGGGTTCTATCAATTAGGCGTTCTGTAAAGAGAAGCTTTTCTGGCCATCCCCCAGTAGCAGCACTACTGGTACCTTCTTCGTCTGCCCCTAACGTTGTTCTCTCTCCTAATGTGCTGCTGCCCTCACTTGCTGACCTCCCCCCTAAGATTGTCTCTGCAGCAACAAGGGCCTCAACACATTCCGTCGCCTTGTCCTTCTCCGCCTCTACACGCCCAAGACCAGTGGAGCTACGGGACCAGACAGGGAGGACATCAGCTCCTCCCCTAAGACCCAAGCTGCTGCTGCGGCGCAGGTCTCTTAGTGTTTGTGTCTGCAGCTCAGAAAGCCGCTGCACTATACTCAGACACAGCTTCAATGCCTCCACTGCCACTGCTGCTCGTTGCATGCTGCGCTGCAGCCCCAGAGATGGCGCGACGGGGAGGAAAGATAGACCCTCAAGAGCCTTCCGCGACACCCTCCCGTGCTGCTGCGCTGCAGCAGCAGCAGCAACAACAGCAGCAGCGGCGGAACGCCCACTGTCACCGTCTTCATAAACCTCGTCCGGACCCGTCAACACAAACCAAAGGGCAGACTGAAATGCTCTCCATGCGCTCTGCTGCAGCCGCAGCCGTGCGCCTTCATACTCCCGCCGCAGCAGCTGCCGTGTTCTCTCTTCAAGACCCCAGGAGACACCCCAAGAGAAAGAAGGGCATATTTCGTCGCTGCGCAGCGAACCCAGGGGGCCCCCAGGCCCTCCCGGACTCGTGGAAGGCACCTTGGAGGCCTCTCCCTCACCCTCCTCCTTCGTGGGCCCCAATCCACTGCAGCTCCGCTCGGTCTTTCCCGGGATCGGGGACCGCACATCTGGGATCACTATACCTCCCGCCGATTCCCCGCTGCCTTGTGGGGCCTCGTACACCAGGAGGCCCTTTGCTGCCCATAGGTGTGCCCACAGAGAAGCAGACAGCTGAACAGACGCCTCCAGCGCAAAGCCCTCACGCTGCAACAAGGAGGAAGGGGGACGGCAGTGTGCTGAGGTGTCTCCGCAGGTACTGCCTCCAGAGACACCGCCAAGGGGACGACCCCACAGATCGTCCCCCACTACCTGCAGCTGCAGACGCAACTCCGCTATCGACTCCTCCCGCCCGTCTGCCTCCCCTGCCGTCGAACCTGTGAGCAGATAGCACCGCAACAGAACAAGACACGCACATGATCAACATACATTCCATGCACAAAGCAAGCACACCTCAATAAGCAAGCGTTGTAGCAGTGGCAGCAGCAGCAGCGACTGCCATTGCTACAGCAGCAGCAGCAGTTCAAGGGGTGCCTAGATACTGGATTCGCCCCAGACAGGGGAAAAGGGTCCTTTAGCTAGCGATGCAGAAAAAAGAAGAAGAATGGAGCTACTGCATGCCGTGGATTTTATACCTGCAGCAAAGAATGTGAGGGGTGCCGCAGGATCCATTTGAGTCACCATCTGCCGTGTTGCTTTTGTCCCGTCTGCTGCTGGTGACGGGAGGAAGGAGGATATAGTCTTTAGAGGAGGCGAGAAGGGGGGGGCGCTGTGTCTGCGCTGTACGTACAGCAGCACAACCCATCCCCCTAAACTGGCCTTCTCCCTCAGGCGGAATCCGTGATGCAGCAACCCCACATCTGAGCTCCACCGCCGGCTGTCTAGACACCTCAGTGCCACGCGGGTCACTGCTGCTGCTAGGGGCAAATATACTGCCCTAGGGGAAGGGGTTGAGCTGAGGCAGTCAAGAGAAGAGAAGGAACTTGCAAAACGTTTGAAGATCAGCCCTTCCCGCTCTCCTACTGCTGCTGTGGTTGCTGCTGTTGCAGCTACTGCTGCAGGCCGTGTTGCCGCAACAGCAGTAGTAGCAACAGCAAAAGGATCTGCAGAGGAGTCCCGAGTATTAGTCGGTATACGCGGATGTGCTGCTTCGTCATGCAAGTCTCTAGAGCGAACAGTCTCAAGAGAGAGACCTCTAGATCGGCTATCAGCAGGAGCATGAAGGATACGAAGAGGGACAGGGAGAGCAAGGGTAAGAAGGTGCTGCAGCAGCAGCACGGAGCTGCTGCTGCATGCAAAAGGCTCCCTGCCAAGACATAACTGCAGCGTAAGGAGCTGCAACTCCGCTTCCATCCAGCAACAGTCTGCTGGCAGCAAATGGTAGACACCCGGGCTGCTAGGAAACGCCAAGGATAACATCTCCTCCATGTGCTGCTGCAGATGGAAACGAAATACTGTCCTGATGCAAGACACACGTAAAAAAAAAAAATAAAATATAAATAAAATAAAATAAAAATAAAATAAAATAAAACAAAATAAAAATAAAAAACAAATACTCAATGATCATTTATCCCCAAAGGATATAATAACCAATGCAGCAATACCCAACACAATAATAACAAATACAATAAAAATAAATTCAATAATAATATACACAAGAATAAGATATACAACAAAAAGAAAGCAATAATAGTACACACAAGAATAACTATCTACCAACAACAAACTCGCGAACAATTCAATTAAGAACGGAGCAACGAACTACACACACAATTAGGGTTTAGGGCTTAGGGTTTAGGGCTTAGGGTTTAGGGTTTGGGCCGCCCTGCCCTTCATCGTCTCGTTGCCTACCGAATTACTTCACAGAGAGAGGTGTCTAGCGCGTCCGCTAGTGGCTGCGACTTCCAGAAGGGTTGCGCACTGCTGCTGCTGCTGCTGTTATGGGTACTGCTGTGGCTGCTGCTGCTGCTGCTGCGGTGTCCGTCTCCCGTCTTGCAGGAGCGGTCTGTCTGAGCAGGAGCAAAGGCAGGAGTCGACCCCAACAAGGAAACCGCCACGGAGTGCACCAGCCGCAGCAGCAGAACTCCCGCATACCTCTTGGCTGTGCCACTAGGTGGGGAGCTGAGGATGCTGCGTGGTGCAAGACCGGTGGTTCTTGCTGCTGCAGCAGCAGCTGCTGCTGCAGCAACTGCTGCTGCTGATGGTAGCAACAGCTGCAGCAGCAGCGGAAGCCCCTGTCCTTGCCTCAGGCCGCCATCTATCTGCTGCAGCACGCATCCTCCCTCTGAGCTTGCTGTAGTGCAGCTAATCTCCCTACAGCTACCATCACTCCCCTCTGACTCCAAACAACGTTGTGTCTGCAGAGGACCATCAAAACTTGTTTGCTGCTCAACTGCAGCAAACACTCTTCTTCCCTCCCCTGAAGTAGACACATTTCCTCCACTAAGCCATGCCCTGCGTGTGCATGCAATCGATGGGGCTGTATCCAATCTCCGGCTGCTTCGCACCACCTGCTGTTGCTGCTGTTGCTGTTGCTGATGGGGAACGAGAGAGGTATCCACTCCTGCTGCCCCTAGACCTTCTCGCGTGCTGCAAGACCCTGCTGCAGCAGCACTCCAGACAAGAGCGTCTTCTGTTGCTGCTCCTTCTGGCAGCAGTCGTTGAGGAGCAGCGGCGAAGCCAAGGAGGCCCTCATGCGAGCTGCTGTGGGGCGCACCTGATGCGTCTCCATCTATGAGACACGGCCCCGCAGGTGTATCCGTACAGCAGCACAGCCCTGCAAGTACAAGGGCCCGTAGACTATTAACAGCAACAAAACGTACCACAGCAGCAAGCTGCTCAACCAGCAGCACACGTCTTGTTGTGGAGACATCTGCACCATTTAACATGAAATCAACCAATGATTGTAGACTACTCTCTGTAGCACCACCAGATAACTCATTATCTGCAGCAGCAGCAGCAGCAAAATAACCCTCCAAAGGAACCCTTCGCAAGGACATCCACCGCATCCGTCCTCCTGATGATCGCAGTGTTAAAGGCCCCCAAGCACGTGCTGCTCTTCGTCGCCGCCGCGCAGCAGCAGATGCAGCAGCAGCAGCAGTCAAGGCTCCGGAGCCTTCTACTGAAGCGGCTGCTGCAGCACCAGCTGCAGCAGCAGCTGCTGCTGCTGCAGTGCGAGTTAAAGCGCCCCACGGCTGCGAGGCGCTGCGTTTGCTGCGGCGCCTCCCGTTGCGGAGGAAACGCTTAAGCATCTGTACATTGCGGGCAAAGCCAAGGCCTGCTGCAGGGTCCCCTGCTTCGGCGTCTCCTTTTGGGTCTATGGGGCCCCAGCTGCAGCGGAGAGCAGCAGCAGTAAGTGTCTCCACACTCCTGTCGCGAGACGGACGGCGGAGGCGCACCGACTGTTGCGCCCCACCGCATGAGCTAGACCCCACACGGGAGGAACCAGGGACCCACACCCGCTGCTGCTGTACTCGTTGCTGCTGTTCCTGCTGTTGCTGCCGCTGTTGCTGCTGCTGTTGCTGGCGTCCTCCGCCACCACCAATGATACCAACACTTGTTCCCCATCCCCCCCTCCTTAGGCCAAAGAGGGAAGGAGAGGAGACACTGCGGAGCATCGATGCCCCTACAATGTCTCTTTTGTGGGACCCCACAAGGTGACTGCTGAGGAGACGTCTCCCTCCCCGTCTTGACAGCAGCAAACGACCCTCCGAGCTCGCCAGCCCTCGAGGGCAGCAGGTTAACAGCCACAAGCAGCGTTCCACAATTCCGCGAGCTTCATCTGCTCGACTCCACGGAAGCTCCTGCTGCTGGTGCTCCTGCTGTTGCTGCTGCAGCGGCGGCTGGTGTTGCTGCTCGTCAGGATTAGTAGGACTAGCTGGCCAGCTGCTGCTGCAGGAGTCATCAGAATCCGATAAGGCTAAGGGTGTGGGGCTACCACCTTCTGTGTCTGCAGCAGCTGCATCTTGTGCTGCTCCTTTTTCCGCTCTTCTCCTCTGCCATGTGGCGAGCAGCTGTATAACTGCTCTTTTAGCAACAGCTGCTGCTAGACTAACAAGTGCTTCCCGCTGCTGCTGCTGCTGCTCTTCTGTCTCTTTTGTTGCCTCCCCTGCCCCCTCAATGCTGGTGCCTCCTTCATATCCAAGCACATGCAACACTGCAGCAAATATCGCCCGCTGCACTGCAGCAACACGAGGATGGAAGCCTGCAAAATGCGCCGCTAACTTCGGATCTCCGCACGGCTGTCCCTGCAGCAGCCGCAGCAACGAAGGGCAGCAGTTGCTTTGCTGCCCTGCTGCTCTTCCTGCTGCTGCACCATCTACCCCGGCGCATGCAGCTGATGCTGTAGCTTCTGAAGCAGCGGCAGTAGCTGTGTCTGTGGGTAGCGGGTAAATCGCCAGGCGGTCGGCAATACCCAGCGGGAAGGAGCCTGGTACTTTCCGTGCCTGCCCGTTTGCTGCTACGGGTTCAAAAGCAGCAGCAGCAGCACGATCTGCCGCTGGGGTTTGGGGACCTCCTTCCTCCCCCTGAGCAGCAGAAGAGATGCCACGGTAATGAAGATGAAGTCCGCCTGTCTGCTGCTCTGCTGCTGCCGCTGCTGTTGCTGTTGGTTGCGGCAGCAGCTGCTGCTGATCACTTTGGGGCTGGCTGGGCACTACAGGAGTTTCTTTCTGCTGGCTTGCTGCGAGGAAGTCCTCTACTGCTGCAGGGAGACCAATGGACACTGTCCGCTGCAGCAACACCGCGCGGGGTGTATAATCAAGCAGCAGCAAGACACTCGATCTTAATGCCTGCTCTAAGGGCTTCAAGGGATGCCCTGCAGCAGCAGCCATATACTGCGCCCCACCCAGCAGGAGGGGCGGCAGCCCCGCAACTGCACGGGATACTGCATTAGCTGCTTGTCCCTCTGCTGTCTCCAACGAAACTGCATGAGACACGTCTACAGCAGCAAGAAGAGCAGGGAAGGTGCTGCTGCTAAGCTGCTGCAGCACGCTAGCTGTTGCAGACACCAGACCCAGCAGCTGCTGCACCAAAGGATGCAGATTCCCCTGCTGCATATCTTCAGACACACAAGAACCTAGCTGCCGCAGCAGCAGCAAACAACGGAGAGACATCTGCAGCATGCTTGGCCACAGCCGCAGCACAAACCCGATCACGCCGGCAACAGCATCAGCAGCGTCTTGCTCCAAAGCAACCACACCTCGAACGGATTTACTGCTGCTATTGCTGGTGTTACCTCTGCTGCTGCTGCTGCTATTGTTGCTGCGATTGTTCTCGTTGCCTTGTACAGTTGCCACCAGCAGTTGCAGCAAAGGGGTTAAGAAACTCATGAGGGGCAGCACGCCTCCCCCTAAGAAGGCGGACCCATGCAACAGCGCAGGGTCGGGGGCCCCTATGGGGCCCATTAGCTGCTGCGCCTGCTGTGTACATGCAGCACACTTTCCCTCATCTGCTGCTTCTAATCCCTCCTTCTCCTCTGCAGCAGCAGCAGCACTACCAGCCGTGTCCGCACCCGCTGCTGCTGCTGCTGCTCTAGCACCCTTACCGCTGCTAACCTCACCAACTAAGGCAGCAACTGCAGGAGCACCCCCCTTCGCTACTGCCTCTAGCATAAGACCGAGGAGATTGTTAGCTGTCCTTAAGGAGGCAGCAAATAGTTTCTCCAAGTATTGTGACGTTGCAGCAGCAGACGACTTCCCTGTCTGCCCCCACAGCAGCAGAGGCCCCCCAAAAGAGAGACCGGGGCCCCTACCGCCATCCGCGTGTGTTGGCCCCTCCCTCGGTGCTGCAGCAAAGGCGCTGCTGCCGCCAGCATTAGGAGAAGCAGCACCTATAGAAAGATAAGGCAGAGGACCGCCAACCCATCCAGAAGACGGCTGCCCCTCAGCTGTGTCGGCTGGTGCGTCAGTGCAGCGCTGGCTGTTGCTGCTGCCCACCCGCTGTCGCTCGGTGCTGCTGCGGCCTGTCGATCCCCGACGCCGCAGAGACCGGAATAGCTGCGTTAACCACAGCTCTGCTGCGTGCCGTGTTAGCTGTGCAGCAACACGCCCAGCTGCATCACTGCTGCTGCTGCTGTTGCTGCTACTACATCTGCTGCTGCTGCTGTCACCACCGAAGCCAGTTGCTGAGCCACTCTCCCCACGCGAAGCTCCCTGTGTCCCTGTGGATGTCCAAAGCTCCCCTGTGCCCCGCTGCAGCGCTGCATGTAGTTGGTGCAGGCGGTGCTGCAGCGGTATCCATAGAGAGGGCCGCATCAGCAGCTCTTCGCAAGCAGAGGCCTCGGTGCATGTCCCCGCACCCGTTGGTAGCCCCATTAGTCTCGGGCTACACAGAGCCCCCAAGGTAAATCCTGGTGATGCATGCAGCTGCTTAGAGGAGCTGCATGCACTCCATCCTTGACTGCGAGAGGAGTCTTCCGATCCTAATGAAGAAGCTGATACAATCCCTCCAATGGTGCTGCCGCAGCTGCTGCGACGCTCGCTGCTGCAGCAAGATGATGGTGAGGCAGCAGCCTGCTGCTGGGAACCATTAAGGGCATCCCTTAGCTGCGTCTCTGTCTCCTCAAGGAGAGAAGAGAGAAGAGGCCAAAACCCGCTGTAGTGATGAGATGCTAGTTTAGCGCATGCGTCATGGAGAACAGATGAATCTTCAACCTGTCGCTGCTGCTGCTGCTGTTGCTGCTGCTGCTGTTGCTGCTGCTGCTGCTGTCTGTAGGATGTGGGAGAGACGGCTTTGCGAGCTCCTGCTACCCACGAGATGTTGTCTCCGCCAGTTGCTGCAACCTCAGCAGCGCCCACAAGGCGGAGTCCCCGCGGGCGCCCCCAGATATATTCTTTGCTCTGTGGGCCCCTTGCCAAGAGGCGTATTTGCTCTGCTGCAGCAGCACCAAACTGCTCTGGTGCCTCCGCAGGAGTTACCCGCAGCTGCAGCTGACAACCTGGTAGCAGCTGCTGTGGTAATGGGAGAGCCTGCTGCTGAGCATGTTTACGGTGGGGGCCCCCAGGGGGCCCCTGTGTACAATGTTGGCCCCTTGTTTCATGAAGGAGCCTATTGACGATGATACGGCCTGTCTTAGGTCCTTCAAGTACCTGCAGCAGCTGTTGAATAAAGGTAGATTCCTGCTGCTGCCTCTTGCTGCTGAGGGCTAGCAGCAGCTGCTGCAGTGCACGAGGTTCTGCCCGCTGTAGCAGCACGCGAAGGTTCTCTGGTGCTGCAGAAGCAACAAGGGTACTGCATGCCTTTTTAAGTAGCCATGAGGCTCCCTGTGCATCAAATAGTGCAGCAGCTAACTCGAGACCCCCACCTCCTTGCTGCTGCATGCATGTGCTGCAGCAGCAGACACGAGCAGCAGGAGGCGAAGCATGAAAATAAAATAACCATACATCCATAAGACGAGGAGACAGACACCCTAGCTGCTGCAGTCCCCTTCCCCCAAGGACACGATTGCTGTTGCTTAATAAAAGTCTTAAGACACACAATAAGCTGTACATACACTCCGCTCGCTGCTGCCATTGCTGCTGCTCTCTAAGTGTCTCCTGCCGCTCTATGGGCCAACGCACATCAGAGACAGGCAATGGAGACTCCCCCAGGGTACTACTACAGCCGCTGCTGCTGTTGCTGCTAATGCTGCTGCTGCTGCGGCTGCCGTTCACCGAGAAACCCATGCTCGCGCTGCTGGTGGAAGGAGGAGAAGAACACGCTGATGGCTCCAACGCATTGGGACTAGGACTCGATCTTACCTCCACCAGCTGCTGCTGCTGCTGCTGCTGTTGCTGCTGCTGCCAAAGTTGCTGCTGGTGTTCAAGGAGTTGCAGAGCCGCCTCAACAGCAGCAAGGCCCCCAGCAGCAACGACCTTATGAGCACTAGATAGAGGATCCGTAAGGGCAGCAAAGGCAGCAGAAGGTTCCCTTGTGCTGCAGCACAGCAGCATACCATCCTCCTCTGCTCTCATACACAGTCTATGGACAGCCTCACACGTCAGCTGCAGCAGCTCCTCTAACGAGAACTTGCTGCTGCTGCTGCTGCTGCTAGTGCTGTTGGGGAGAGACTTGGGGGCATTAGAGAGAACAGCACGTGCTCGTAATTCCTCCATAAAGGGGGAAGAGAAAGAAGGGGAAGGAGGGGACAGCAGCACCGCATTCCCCCTAAGATGTGCCATAAGCAGCAGCTGCTTAGGCCGCAGCTGCAGCAAGGGCGGCCCCGGGGGAGGGGTGGGTAAGGGTAGGCAGCAGAGTCTTTGTCCATTAATGAAGAGGACAAGGGCTTCTTGTGGTTGCTGCAGTCGATCTAAGAGCTGGTCTTTTGCTGCTGCTGCTGCTGCTGCTGGTGCTGTTGCAGCAGCAGCTGCTGCTGCAGCAGCATCCCCTATGCCCTCCTGAGAGACACCTTTATCCAGCAGCAGCTCAAGGGTTATCATGCGTTCTCCTTGTAACTCAAAGACAGCAACCATTGCCTTCGGTGGTGTCTCCTCCTCACTAGAGACACTTGCGGGGCCCCCAGGGGCCCCCCCAGATCGCCCACCTCCCCGTACCCATACAGCTAGTGCAGTAGAGGTGATTTCAATGTATAAAACTAACGCATCCGCATCTTCACCCACGCTGTTGTTGCTGCCGTTGCTGCTGCTACTGTTGCTGTTGCTGCTGCTGTTGCCGTTCCTGCTAGTGATCTCCTCCACGGTACTGCTACTACTATTGCTGTTGTTGTTGCTGCTGCTGTTGTTGCTGCAGCTTCCTTCTCTCCTTAATCGTATAAGCCGCTCATTCCCATATAGGAACTCTAGCAGCACGCATGCACCTCCTTCATCTCCTCCGCCTTCCATCTCTCCTTCTGCTGCTGCTGCCTCTTCTCCAGCAGCAGGCTCTGGCAGCAGCAGCTGCAGCTGTGATATGGAGGCCCCTGCGCCTCCTAGGCCGCTCGACATAACTCGCAGTGGGCCCCCTTGGGGGCCTCCTACTGGGGCACCTAGAGGCCCCCCAAGGGGCCCCCCCACAATATACTGTCTCCTATAAGAATCCTGCGGCACACCAAACCAGCAGCGACGCTGCAGCGCGAGCAACTCCAACGCATCAAGAGAGGGGAACTCAAACCTTGGAGAGCTGCTGCTGCTGCTGATGCTGGGGTTGTTGCTGCTGTTGCTGCTGCCGACAGGGTAGGTTGGGGACAGGGAAGCTGCTGAAGGAGACGGCGTATACGAGCTTCCGCTGCTGCTGCTGCAGCTGCACTGGAGACCATCAGCTGTCTGGATAAGGAGATAAATAAAGTCAAGGAGACAGCAGAGACTGTTGCCATGCAGCGCATGCAAAAGAAGGCAGTCAAGTGCAACAGCAACAGCCTCCCATGCCTGCTGTCTCCTGTCTCCTTGGTGTGTTGCTGTTTGCTGCTTCTTCTCCTTACTGTCTCCTTGGGTGTCTCCTTCCTTCTGTTGCTGCATGCTGCTGCTACTTCGAACCTGCCGCTGCGCCTCCTGCAGCAGCAGACGCAGCAAAGTCCCCATTTCTTTCTGTGCTGGTGTGCCCCTGCAGCGGCAGCTGGATGTCTCGAAGAGCTCTTCGCTGTCTCCGTCCTGCTGCTCTGCTGCTGATGCTGCAGCAGCAAATGCCCTCTTGCTGGGGCCTCCAAATGCTGCAGGCAGCTCGGCGAGCAATCGCGCCTTTGCTGCATGCAGCAGCTGCAGCAGCAGCTGCGGAGTGAATTCCCCCTGCTGCTGCAGTGCCATCAAGGCCCATAGGGGAGCAGAATTGGGTTCGTCTTGCTGCAGCATCAGCTTCTGCTGCTGTTGCAGCAGCCTTAAACTGCCCAGCAGCAGCTCTCCCTCTCCCTGTCTTTGCTGCTGCTGTCTCTCCATCTCCACTCCCCACAGCCCTCCTAGTCCCTCGTTTGCTGCCCATGCATCTGCTGCTTGCATGCATCGTTCTCTTAAAGATTGTTCTGCTGCTCTCCTGCTGCTGATGCTGCTGCTTCCCTCTGCAGCAACGCCACATCCTAATCCTGCTGCAGCAGACACAAGAGACTGCAGCTCAAGCCGCAGCGGCTGCAGCGCCCGCGGCAGCCCACAAGACGTAGCAGGAGCAGCAGCACAACTACCCACAGATGCTGTTAGACATTCCTCCAATACTGAACCTCCTGCTGCTGCTGTTGCTGCTGTTGCTGCTGTTGCTGCTGTTGTTGCAGCAGCAGCAGCAACTCCCTCCGAGTCCTCTACACGGGAAGACCCCGCCTCTTCTGCAGCAGAAATCAACAAAGGCTGTGGGGACAGCCACTCTAGGGAAAGGGCAATTGGATCCTCTGCTGCTTCCTCTGCAGCAGCAGCAGCAGAAGATGATGATGATGATGATGAAGAAGGAGAAGAAGAAGATGATGAAGATGAAGAAGAAGATGATGATGATCCTGCTGCTCCTCCTCCTGCTGCTGCAGATCCTGTTGCTCCTGATGCTCCTCCTCCTGCTGCTGCAGCTGCTGCTACGGGGGTTGCCGGTGCGGCTGCTGCTGCAGGTGTCGGCGGTGCAGCTCCTGCTGCTGCAGTTGGTGTTGCTGCTGCTGGAGTTGTTGGCGCTGGAGCAGCTACTGGAGTCCCTGGAACTGCTGCTGCCGCTGCTGCAGCTGCTGCAGCAGCAGCGGCAGCGGCAGCTGCTGCTGCAGCAGCAGCGTTTGTGGGGGACGTCTGCGCCGAGGGGACAGGGCCTCCTCTTATGGGTGGCTCCTGTGCTGCTCTCTGCTGCGGCTGCTGCTGCTGTTGCTGCCCTCTAGCCCGTTGCCACAGGCGCCGCAGCTGCTGCTCTCTCCCCCCAAACAACCGCAGCAGACGCCTCAGCTCACCTGAATCGACTGCTAAGGGAAGTGGGCCCCGTGGGGCCCCCCCTGGTAGGTTGGAAGGGTCCCGCGGATGCTGCTGTTGTTGGTGTTGTTGCTGTAATTGTTGCTGGTGGTGCTGCCGTTGCTGCTGCTGCTGCTGCAGCAGTAGCTGCTGCTGCTGCTGGAGAGCTAAGCTGCGGGCAGTGCTATCATATGGGGTCCATGCCCACGTCAGCGGATTCAAAGGAAAGGTCTCCCATAGACCCTCCCGCACTCCCCCTTGCTGCTGCTGCTGCTGCCGCTGGCGCTGCTGCGCCTGTAGCTGGAGCAGCTGCTGGTGTTGGTGCTGGTGCTGCTGCCCCGTTGCTGGGCCGCGGAGGGATAGTCGCTCCAGGTTAGGCAGCGTCCAAGGGCTGCTGCTGCTGCTACCGCCGAGGGAAGCAGCAACAGCAGCAGAGACGAGGAGCCTCGAGAGACAAAAGCATAAGTGCGTCTCTTCTAGCACTCCAACTAGAGGCAACAGGGAACCAGACCCAAGAGCAGCAGCAGCAGCAGCTTGCTGCTGCTGCTGCTGTGGGTTTGTATACACCGCAGGGCAGGGGTACTGCCCATCACTATTAGACTCCCCTGTCGTCTCTGCCCGGGGGGCCCCCGCCTCCCTCGGTACCCAATTGGAGGAGGCAGAGCGGGGCCCCCCTCCTCTTATATCACTTTCTACAATACACTCCACGTTGCTGCTGCTGCTGCAGCTGCTGCTGTGCTGCTGTCTCCTGCGGTAGGCCCTCAGCAGCCGCGAGGCCCCCTCAAGAAGGACAACTTCCGTACCCTTGTTAAGGGGCCCCAGGGCCCTTGTACGACTAAGGAGGGTATAACAACTAAAGGGATGAGGGGATGGTGGGGGGCCCTCTTCCCTTAGATACACAGGAGACACAAAAGGGGACAGAAGAGAACAACCAGAAGAAGCAGCAGCAGCTGCTGCTGAAGAAGAAGCTGCAGCAGCAGCAGACTCCCAACTTCGAGACTCAGACACAGAGGGTGGTCTCCCTGCTGCATGCATGGTATGGGGCCCCCCTGCTGCCTGCACGTTTGGGGGGGCCCCTGCTGCACGCATGCTAGGGGGGGCCCCCGTATGAGGGGGAAAAAGAGGAGATCCTTCCGCCTCCATCCTTACAGAACTGGGTTGCTTAGTAAACAAGGACAAGCTGCTGCTGCAGCTGCTGCTGCTGCTGCTCCTGCTGCCGCTGCTGCCGCTGCTGCTAAGAATAGTAAGGGGCAGACACGGGACAGAGATGAAGCTGTCCCTCTGCTGCAGCCATCCCTAAAGAGCAGCTGCGGCCTCAGGAGGCAGCAGCAGGTATCACTGCAGCAGGTGCAGCAGCTGCTGCAGCTGCAGCAGCAACAGGAAAGGAGAGCTTATAAAGCCCTATAGGCTGTATTATATAGTAGATATATAAAATAAGGACTTATCCTTGCTGCTAAGAAGAAGAGGAAGGAGGAGGAGGAGAAATAACGAAGAGAAAAAGGAGAGCTAAGGAGACACAGACAAGGAAGAAAAGGAGACACCTTGTCTTAGGAAGGGACAGTACAAGTGTCCCCTTCTTATGGCTTATGGTTTACTGCAGGGGGAGGAAAACTTTGGCAGTAGCAGCAGCAGCGGCTGCTACTGCTGGTGTTGCTGCTCCTGTAGCTGCTGTTGATGCTGTTGCTGCTGCTGCTCCTCCTGCAGCAGCAGCAGCAGGAATGAATAAGAAACAGAATAAGAATAAAGAGAAGAAGAAGAAGTTGCTGCATTAACTAAAAGACAAAGACACAGATGTCTGTCTCTTAAGGCAAGAAGAAGAAGCCGACCGTTGGACTGCTGCTGCAGCAGGGAGCGGCAGCAACAGCAGCAGCAGCAGCAGGATGTTGCTGTTTTGCTGTTTACGGTGTATATACAACTAAATAAATTAAAGAAAAAGATTTTTATTTTTAAAAGAAAAAAGAACGAGAAGGAGGACGACTGTTGCTGCGGGCAAACAAAGACGAAGAAGAGAAGAAAAGAAGGCCGGGGAGGCAGCAGCAGCAGCAACAACAGCAGCAGCAGCAGCAGCAGCACGAGCTGCAATGGCGTCTTATATAAGTCTTTTATTTAATTAAGGTAAATCAATGATAAAAAACAAGAAAAACAATAAAAATTTATTTATTTTTCTTCTTTTTTACTCTTTCTTCTTTGCTGCTGCTGCTGCTGCAGCAAACAGACCAGGCCGACCGCTGGTGCGGTGCACAGCAGCAGCAGCAGCAGCAGCAGCAGCTCCTGAATCTACGTACGTATATATTTTCTCCTCCTTTATCTCTTTTTATTTCTTTATTATTATGTATTCTCCTTTTATCTTTTCTTCTTTATTACCCTTTTATACCTTCCCCTCTGTGGGCACAGACACACAACAGTTGCTGCTGTTGCTGCTGTTGTTGCTGCTGCTGCTCCAGCAGCAGCAGCAGCAGCAGCATCAGCCCCGTTGCCGCCTTTATGTGTCTTGTCTCATTACTATGAATACATTGTATTTCCTTTAGTGTATATTTCTTCCTATGTATTGTTGCTACCTAAACCCTAAACCCTAAACCCTAAACCCTAAACCCTAAACCCTAAACCCCCCTACCCCCCCTTTTCTTACTAGGAGAACTTCTATTGAGTGGAGGTAGCCTTAAGGTGTTCCTTTTTGTCTCTTTTTATTCCTTGCATGCATGCATGCATGCATGCCTGCAGATAAGAAGTAATATATTTATGTATATTTACTTAATTGTTTTTGTGTCTCCTTTTTTTTTGTCTGCTTGCATGCATGCATGCAAAGTGTCTCCTTTTCCTCCTTAAGACTTTTCTTCTTCTTTTTTCTCCTTTTTTATGCATATTTATTATCTATTTATTCCCTTAATACCTTAATAAGATATAAATAACGTATTTATATGCATGCATTAACAAATTACTTATTATAACTTAGAGACGGCTGCTGCTGCTGCTGCTGCTGCAGGCAGCAGCAGCAGCAGCAGCCGTCTCTACAGGCAGCAGCAGCTAGCTACACGCAGCAGCAGCTAGCTACATGCAGCAGCAGCTAGCTACAGTCTGCTGCGTCGCATTTTCTTAGCAGCAATTCAATTAATTTTTTGTAAGAAATTAACAATATATAATGCTGTATGCGTTGTTATTTGCTGCTGCTGTTGCTGCTGCTGCTGCAACAGCAGCAGCAGCAACAGCAACAACAACAACAGCAACAGCAAGGAAGGTTAATTAGCTGCTGATAGGATTA